CAGTTCCTTCGACATGAACACTGGCGAATCAATTTCGGCGGCAACAGAAAGACAAGATGATTTATCATCTAGTTTGTTTCTCATTTGCCACAGTTTCTAAGCTGAATCATCTTAACGTTAGAATCAGTAGCTTGTCTTTAATTATTACCAATCAGTGACATCGTCAAACTACTAAATAAGCCGCAGTAATCACTCTATGGATAGGCGCTAATAACTAAGACTAATAGTAGTAGCATTTACTACCAGGTTTGATTGTCATTACATTTCACTCCCATTTCACAAGCAAATTCCTCATAGTTTTAGACAGATTACAAAAAAACTGGCAGCCGATAATTATGGCAAAATATACCTTCTATATTGTATTTACAGGAAGCTCACTTGGAACAAGCAACTTAATAACCTTCAAAGTTGGATACCTTAAGGTAGGAAGAAGAATCGTATCCACTCATTCTAATTATGAGTAAGAAACATATACAGTGGTAATGATTTTTGTCAAGAATTAGAAACCTTCCAAGAAATACTGTCAGATAATGTATACCCGTGGAAAAGATTCATACAACTTCGAAGAAAACTTCGGTGAATCTCAGATTTAAAGGTAATACTGCTGAGGACATCCTTCGTCAACGTTTATCAAAGTCCCTTAGTAGAAAATTTAATACCACAAATCTCCGTATTCTTTTCTCATGTCAGTAGTTGATTCTTCAGTGATTGAAAGACAAGCTGAAGCATATTGCGTGATCAGTGTGTATTTATAAGTTCATTTGCTCCTATGGTGGCGTGTATATTGGCAGTACTATGCACTCACTTGAAAAGCCTGCTGCTTAGGAGGAGCACAAAACCATATCCAGCTCAATTGCCAAACATCTCATAGGCTTTAAACATCTGACTCCACTGGAACCGTGATACAGAGTTCTTTACAAAGTTCAATGAAACCGTCCAAAAGAGGTGAGGATTAGACAATTGTGTGCAGCTGAAGCTTTTAGCAGTCCATAGCTTCAAGCCTCAGCTGTATGTTCAAAAGAAACATATACAAACACTCTCTTTACCACGGCCTTAATCAGATACCAAATCTTACTGTTCTCTGAATTTTATAAAAGTCTATGAAGATCATGTCTTGTGTTGCCAAGTGTCATTTCATTCTTTACATATATCTATCGACTTAGTTTGACCTTTGACAGGAAACTTGTTTGGAACATCATGTTATCATTCTGTTGATAAATTTACTAATGTCTAGCTGTGAAATTGGGTTGTCAGGTGGATAATTATTTTCTTTGTAACTTCTTTTCGTTTTTCAGTGGACAAATAGCGATTTTTCTATGAATTTTTTGTTTAAGTTCATATATAGCTTCAATCATGGCTTCCAACAATGGACAACTGAGCTTATCATAATAGTGTAAAAAAAAATTGGCAACTTCATTTTCGAACAAACTGACTAACAAACGAAAGATCTCCTGTTAAACGATACGACAAAAATGTAACAGTGAAGATACTTCTGTTTTTCCAAGACCTTATTTTGCTACAGGTGTTCATAATGGCGTATAAAATCATTGAAAATGAACTACAGTCTCCTGTTGATCATTTGGGACACGTGAATACCACATCGTTCAGCAGCAGAATTGAAAGTCTCGAAATGCGAAAGGAAGTTACTATTTTCTCTATGGTAAGGCTGATGAGCTGTAATAATATTTTTGACCACGACCGTCAGGTTTCATATAGTGAATCGCCAATGATTCAGTTCTATATAAATTATGCCTTAAACCTCCTTGGATTTATAAAATGCACTTTACTTTGAAGGCACTACTTTGAGAGGTCAGATGTCTAGAGATAACAAGGTGTTAAAGAATAGAAGTACCGAATTTTTTCTCCCTCTCTCTCTCCTAGATAACCAAATGGGACAACCTTCCAAAATACTTTTACGGACATGATGGAGTGTACGGCAATGTACGTTGCTCCCCAGGAACAAGTAAACTGATATATTCACATTCAGGTGACCATAAGTAGTAGTCTGTTCTTGACTCATTCATATATTAATTACTTGGTGAAATATTTGGTTCTCAAGTTGGCTGAGTGAAATATCCTCCTCACAGATCTTGGGAGACACTTTTTGAGGATTTTAGCTGTAATATTACCTTTGAATTCCAGGTTCATGTAAGGAGTTTTCTTCAAGAGATTGCTTCCTTTTGTATCTGTGGCTTTTCTTTCATGTTAGAGTCAATGAGTCCGGGTGGATATCCACTTTCTGGTAGAATGTTATGTAAAAACCATAGCTAATTCACTTTGTAGTGTGTTTTCAGAATAGGTCTTTCGAAACCTAGAACATGATCAACCTAAACGGTTCTGTTTGCTAATTTGTGGGGCATAGCTTTTAAAGTTGATAAGCTGTCCAGTCCATGTTAGTTTTCTGCACACCGATTTTCGCATATAGTTATCCAATTTCATTGGTAGTAGTATATCCAGGAGTGAGAAAATCTAGTTTGTTTGACACTCTGGAGTGAATTTTATGCATGAATTTGCATCATTGAAGGTATTGAGGAAACTGTTCAATTACATTTCTTCATGGCACATGACAAACATTTCATCGACGACGTATAGTTGACCAATTATTTAACTAACGAAACCATTTTCAAGAGAGGCTATGAAGCACAGCTAGGAATGTGCCAAGAGGGGACGCCATTGTCATCTCTGAACATGCAGAACTACTTAACGGCTAATACGAAGCTATCTGCAACGTCTTTGGATAAAAATCCTAAAGTCTTCCATTCAGCCATCTATTTACAGTTAAACTACTAGCTAGCAATAGTTTTTAAATCTGTTCTTTGTGTATCAAAACTTCCCGTATGCAACTTTCTCTTAACACGACTGTAGTATCAGTCTTTATGCAACTTCCTGTTGGCTTATTTTTGTTATTGTCTTTTCATGATGAAAAATGTTGACTTAACAATTATGTGGCAATTTTTACATAAGAAACCTGCTCCATTTCTTAGCTAACATCCATTTCTGACCTCCATAAATTATGGTTTTCGGTGGGAAGCGTTTCTTTGCAGAATACACCACCATTATGCGACTACTTTAAATTAATCACTGTTGAGTACAGTTTTGACTGTCTAGCCTTCGAAAATGTTGTCGTAAGGGAAAATGTTTTCGTTGCTACCTTATTTGTCCTAAATTTTACTTCATTTTTAGCAAGTGGTTTTGGAAACTGAAAAAAATGAACGACTTTTCACTATGAGTTACTGACTGTGACGATGAGAAACCCGTGAAATTGGTGAAAATAATGTTGCTGTTTTACGGCACAGTAGCTGACCGAATTGCTACACCCTTTTTACTCGAAAGCCTTACCCTTCCACCTTTAACCAGTAGTGATTTTCTCATGCTTGGTATTAGCGTACAGATTATTTACTGAGTAGTCAGCCTCTTGTCCACTCTCAGGCTATGAAGGGCGATAAGTGACAGTGTGTTTGCAGTTTTCTTCAGAATCTATTCCCCTACTCAAAAGTATAGATTTTTGAAACTTCAAACTGGGTCCATAATCTTAGGTGTTGAACATTAATTGACAGGAAGTTCTAGTGTGTTTCGCTTTTGACACAATCTTGAGAAAATTAATGTTGCCTCGAAAGATTTTGAATGACTTCACTAACAAACTACTCAGCCTATGAATGACCTTCTGTGGCATGCGAGTATTCGAACCATATGACCATCTGATGTTAATCAGCATACATCTGATTTTTTCTGCTCTGGTAACGGTGTAGTGAGTGTCTCAAACGTGACCACCAGTCTAGATGGTAGTGTTCGACCAACGGGAAGTTCTGGATCTAGATTTAAGTGTAAAACTCGGGGGTTGTAGTTGAGTATATTTCCATATTAGATTGTTTATTCAATATAACACATAGTGATATAGTATCACTTACTTGATGAAGTTTCAAGCATAAATTATTGTTTATAATAATATAAATGTAATCACACTACTTTTAACATCTGATTTCTATCGACCTGTCACCTCATATTCCTTACTTTTATTGGTAGTAAAATTATCCACAGATATTGCGTTACTCCTGTTACATGTGTAATATGTTAATTCTATGAACAAAGATTCAGTAATCAGTCCCACTCCTCACCTAACTATATTGAACTGATGTGCAGTGGTTTTATTCCACCCACCCTATTGTGTGGTTGTGTGTTGATCCATCCACTTCAATAGCTGAGTGCTTTTCTAGATTATTGACCTTACTGGAGTCTATCACTCTATATTTAGCTGAATTCCTATTGTCCGCTGTTCTAAATGACCCCGATCGGTTAGTTTGACCGATGTACTTGACCCCACGCACAGTCAGTGCATGGAATTTGATAGATTAGATTATTTTGCTTAATTAGTCCTATCGGATCACCAAGCCGACAAAGCTTATCTCTGAGTGAGTTTGTAGGTTTAAATGCCACCCTAATTCCAACCCTTTTGAGAATCCTACGTAAGGTATCTGATGTTCCTTCCTTATATGGTGACAGTCTTGCTTCAATCGTAGGGGTCTACTCAAGTTTAGAATAGCGCATCCCTGAAAAATCATGAATACTCCAATCCCCATATTTACACAGCCATATAATGAGATGAGATAGAAACAGTGTACTAAAATCCAATATAGTTAAGTGCATCGAAGCAACACCTAACATATGTAACAGGAAGGACAAGATAATTGTGCCAGAAATGTGGAAAATTGTACCACCACCAAGATGCAAAGAAAGCGAGGTGATGAGGCTATAAAAATTGTATGACGAAAGCTGTGTGGTTACATTGATATGATTATGAAAAATAATTTATGCCAACAACATCCTCCAGTAAAGAATACTATATCACTGTGTACTACATCAAATAAACGGGATCTAGATTGCTTCATTACTATAAGACGATCCGATTTAGAAGGTGCCAGCGTCAAAATCTATACTCTTTTGGCTATATATGTACTTCTTACATGTTTCCCTCAATTTTTATCCTCCTGTAGAAGAAACACTGACGAGAAATTAATTTATTATAAACATGAATAAATAATTAATATTAAAAATTCATTTTTCTTTCTTCGTTTTCTGTCTACAAAGCATAATTTACTCAACTCATAACTTGTTTGGAGTCTACAGGTACACAGACAGACAAGCATGTGAACTTTGATCTATGCATATGCGAAAGCTTGAAAATACGTTGGTAAACACTGATAAGTGCTTTGAAGTAACGTTGATATCGCAGAGAGGTGAGAAGAAGCAAAAATTAAGAAGAAAACATTGACAAAACAGTACACACTGAATTACATGCACTTTATCAACATCCTATTGTCTTACAACAAACTCACAAGGTGGAAATGAACATCAGAATACACGGTGATGGAATCTTGAGAAGAATAGGTGAGTAGTTTCTGTGGACAGAACAAGTAACCGTAGGATTAGAATATCAGGATAAAGATGAACAATTTTGAATTGAAAAACTTCGGTGTTTTAAATTAACATGCACTGTCTATTCATCAATTATTTTTTGACATAATTTAAAGATTACACCGTTGAATATTGAATATTTTGTTTTAATTCGACTGTTAAAAATGTCTAAGTAGTCTATAAATGAATGACGGGTTTCGTAAAATTAATAATTAATGAACATATTGAATTGGATAATCTTTAAGGTAAAGGAATAAAATGTTTCTGTTTATCTTAAGTTAAATAAACGAAAAAACAAATAGTTGAAATAAACATGTTGCATCATGAATCTGCAAGATTTATTTACTTTTAATCTATACTACTATTTTGAAAAAGCGATAAAAAGCCTTGTCAACTTTAAGTACACCGTAAAAGAAGCAGCAATAGAAATAGAAGAAGAAAAAGAGAAGATTCTACTGTAGACGTTACAGCTAAAGCAATTCCATGAAAAGAGATACTTGTCAGGTTGAAGCCAAGATTAAATGTTGTACGGTTGACATATTATTTGTATTATACATGTGTAAAAGAGTTTTATTTCTAGTTTGTATCGATGACACAGACAGTACACAGATTTAATGAACAGAAGAGAAAAAAAAGGGTAGTACTTCAGTGAGATATTTATACTAATAGGTTAGTTGTATTTTGATGTATGTGTATGTGAAACAGCTAACGATGAAACATATTGACCAGCATATCAATTGGAAGCGGAAATATAATGGTTGAATTTTTCTCAGCTGAAATGGCACTTAATGTTTGCAAATAACGTAATTGCAATGCAAATGGTGATGTCTTGATAACATCTGCAGCTTGTTTTAAAGCTAGAGAAGATTTCTCTTCTCCTTCAGCTGCAATCACCTGAAAAGATAAACAATATATATATATATATATATATATATATATATATATATATATATATATATTAATGACAATTATCGGTCGAAATGATCTTTAGAATTCGGTTAGGACTCTGGATTAGACACCGTGAGATTAGTAACTCTCCAGTGATCAATTAATATATGTTAAGTTGCAGCCTGAATAGTTCATTGGCAACATCTCTGACTGCAACACTGCGTGATGTGGGTTCAAACTTCAAAGGCAACATCATATCCGTTGAGGCTCCAGGCATGTCCTGCTGACTCGAGCAAATCTGCATGAAACCTAGGTCGACCAAGGCTTCCTGTCGATTGCCTGCCATCATCTAATATCCATCGCAGTGCACCTCGCTTTTGAGCCTCTTAGAGTGGTGACCACATTGCAGAAAGACTATCGACAGAATTTGGTCAGCACTCAGGACTAGACCAAGTTAAATTGGTTATTCTCCAGTGACCAATCGATGTATGGTAACCAGTCAAATACAGATTGCTGATAAGCTTTGCCGTTAACCACCAAGAAGTACAGAACTCAGATCTCGCTCCTTCTCTCAGTCACCTCCCGCCAACCATCGAAGTGTAGAACAATAATAGATCTTTACACTGGCTGGTCACTGCCTATACCTAGTCAACAGTGAACTCCAGAATGCGAGTTTCGTTCTATCTAGGACTCATTAGCCCACTGTTCCTGTATCCTAGTGAGTGATGATGTCCCTACCAAGACTAATACTAACTGCCCTTCGTTATCATAACTTAGTGATTCAATGAATAAAGCTCGAGTTACAATGAGAACATAATGTCATGGAACCCATGTACATCCAACTGGCGAGTTCTAAATAAGACGAAATGAGCATTTACGATTCCACTAGTAGTCACTGTCTATCATCACCTTTATGGCTGGAGGATGACTGGTTTGTATGTTTGGTGCTAACCGCTTAAATTATTAACGGATTGATGAACATAAAATGTATTCTCTTCTCGAAATTAAAGGATCCATCTGATATCTTTAATCTGATCATTCCTGGACAATACAATTCTTTAGTACGATTAATGCATCTTTGCATATTGGTTCACCAGAGTCAACTCTCTAGTGTCAAGCAGTATCTGATATCTAACAATCATGGTTGGCGTTGCGTTCAATCCACTGGTAATGAATAGTAAGATATATATGGCTTACCTGCACTGCATTACCGGCTAACAACAATACTGCACAGTTAGGGTGTGTATACAAGTTAAAAAAGGATCTGTCCTTAGTTTCATAACTTCAAAGTCTATCTGATGTAGGTGTGCGTGAAAGAAATCCGTATACTGACATCCCATTTTCTACTTTGCTTATCTTGTGGAAGTATATTTGAAACGGCAGCGAATTTTCTGAGAACTTTATCATCACACCAGACAGCTCATCAATGCCTGTATATCGCGCACATCTATTATAAGTACTAAAACAGACAAAACCTTAGCTGAAGGTGTTTTGCTGACAGACTGTAAGGAATTAACAATCTCAGCGTCTGATTTACGGATTGTTTACAGACCTACTCATAAGCCAAAAGAGACACCTGAGCAAAATCCACTTTTTTCTTTTGAGAGATTTCGGTGTTCAATATTCCTTCTCTTCAGCAGAAACAAATACGATCCTCATCCCGTGGTATGGAAGTCATCTATTCCTTGCCACTGAGAACATCATTATTCTTTGGATTTGTTTGTGCTTAGTTTTAATAATACCAAGTCTCAATTAAACTGTCAGATGATATTAGTTTCCTCATCAACAATGAAACTGCGCTACTCATTGGAACAATTGGCCGTTCTCTGTCTACGAATGACAAGTTGTATGAGATTATCTTGCAGTGAAAGTACTTCTGGTGATCTTTTCAAATTGTTACATGATTCTTCGAAGTACAAGGTCGTCTACATTTGATTCGCATGCACCAGTGTACCGTTTCAGATTTTAAAGTACAATACCGAAGAAATTCAAAGTTAGCATACTAAGATAACACAATTTTATATCACATTTATCAACCGGAATATTGGTCTTCAAAGCTTAAATACTTTACTTCAACTCTATTAACGCACAATGAAACGAATAGCATTTCACTTGGTTATTTCGTATTTATTCTTTGTTGATTACGTAATTATGATTTGTAAGTATGCAATTTGAACCAATAGACTGTAGAGCTGATTGTAGTACAGACTACTTAATTGCTGATAATTACAATTAATTAATTGTACCTCCCATATGAAACTACGATAAGATGAATGGATAATTCCAAGCACTATGAATTTGTTCAGAGAAATGCTTGCATCGTTCTCAGTTAATAATGATAATCGTATAATTTGATTATCAGATTTTACCGTAACTTCCAAAGAAAATTAAAATGCTCAGACCATTGATTGAGATCTAGGGAATACTTGAAACAATGTGAAGAAAGTAAGCCTGTGACTGACATGAGGAGCTGAAAAGCACTCTAAGCTTCAGTTATCATCGAAATATGACCTTTTACCGCTAGTTACCTTAGCACGCGCTTCTCTTGTAGCCTCAGCTTCAGCCGCCATCGCTCTTTGAAGTTGTACGGGCAAACGAACATCTTTACTAGAATGAAAGAGAGAAAAATAAAAAGTTAACAACATAAAGTTGAAGAATTCACCGTATAATGTGAATAGACAGTCGTCGGTGAGAAAGGGAATGCTAAATTAGCAACTGGGCTATAAAAAAACCATTTAAGCAAAAAAGATTATGAAAATTAATAGATTAGTTAGGGATTGCTGAGGCTCAGGTAATATAAAAGTCGAAACCGGAATTGTGTGTCTAGAAGCAATTTTGCCGTTCTTCATTCTTTCTAATTCTTAGGCTTTTCAATTCATAAGCCTAATTATCCTTTTAATTTTTGTTCTTATTAAACAGACTTTTTTTGTCTTGGTTAATAATTTCTAACTTCATTCCTCACTGATGACTGTCTACTCACACTGTATGCTTATGAAGTCAACTCAAAAATGTGATTTAAAATATTCATTTGCAATAAGAAATGAATAGATAATGAGAATGACAAAAAGCATGCGGAACTCAGTTATGACACAAGAGATGACATCCTGCAACGTTGACAGACGAAACCCATCCAAATAAAATTCCATGCTATAACTCCACTAATTTCTTACACTAGCCACAAAATAGTAATTATGTGACTGAAGGTGCGGATATATCAGTTCATCTGCTTCTTTGAAGCTAGATGGGTAAGCCATATGCCAAGACATAGTGTTCAGCGTGAATTCGAAAACCTTCTGCCATCGCTCAATAAAGTTAAGTCTAGGCTAATCAAAAGTAACAATCTTGCAAAACTTTGTATACAGCGGATACATGATTTCAGAAGGTTCACTTCAAGTAGTCAAAAGTAAGTAGGCATCTACCATGCACTCCTGAATCTTAAGTAATACAGAAGTGTAAGCTGAAGTTATGCTTTTAAAAGCAAGTTTTCCATTCACTTTCTTTATCATCTTACTAAAATTGTAAATCCTTAAAGCTGACTAAGTAGTTTTGTTCCTTGAATTTTGATTTTGTCAATCTGTTTATCATGTGAAATTCCACTTCAAACGTTAACTTGATGTGTCTTTAAAATCATGGTGACATTGTTTACGATAAGATGAAGGCATACTTATGTAGCTAAGTGCGACTGCACATCTTTTGAGAATGACACAAGTGATAAAAAATGTGTTGATTAAAGTTTTTCCTTTACGTCTAAAAGAGGATATTCCATTTATGAAACTCCCGTGAAACAATGTCTGTATATTAAATAATAACATATAAGTTAGAAATGATGACTTTAGGCATGGTTTTTTACTGGTATCGAATTTGATACTGAAGTCAAACAATGAAGCTGTTCTGTACCTATACGAACTGGTCACTTGAAGATATTCAAAGACATTTCAATTCGCTTCATATGATGCACAAAATAAAGTTGAACCTATATGTCTGTTGTGCTGATTGCTTTCTACGTAAGTAGGTATTATATTTTATCAAGCGTTACGATTTACTGGTTGTTTGTCACGTCTTCTTTGAATATTGGCTCATCATTTTGAAGACTCCGGTTTTCAGGAGCAGTAATCCTTTAACCACACTAGGGTAAAGTGATCAAAAAGGACTCTCAGAATCCAGTTACTTCTGCCTTTATAATAAAATTGTAGCTTTATGCAATTTCGCAATGGATAACTCAAAAACTATACATCGAAATTTTTACCAACCTCTTGGTGAATAAACGTTATGCTTCTCTTCACTTCGTTACATCAAAGATATCGATATTTTTTTGTCTTACATGTATTGTGTCTGTCCAAAGGAAGCAGTTCGTAGTCACACAAATTGTAACTCAATAAACAAATTCTTTATTCTACCACTGACAGTAGTTTGGAAGGTCATCCACGTGGTATCACTGCAATAGGCCTGGTTAGGTTTTCAAAGACGACAAACATCCTCACCCAACTTGTCTTGTTACAAATAATATTCATTCCTTCAGCTTCTTAGACTGCTTCATTGAATATACGAGCAGCAATTGTGAACTAACCCACTCAAACACGTTGGTTTGCATGCTTCTTTATCAACAAGAAATATTGAAAATCTAGGAAACTTTGGACATTAATACATTTGTCAGCCTTCTGATACATAACCAAAGAGTGTTCATTTCTAAGCTTAGAGGTTGAGAGCTAGACAATGACTGTAATTAGGCCAGTAAGGTTGTGAAACTGTACTCTTTCCAGTAGGTGAGATATCTATTACGTATTGTGACTCACAGCCCATGTTGATGCGCAATGGTAACCCGAGTAGGCTAAGGCCATAGAAAGCCAAGCGCTTTCACACTAACAACAACTTGGACTGATGCACTTTTGTGTGAGATTTCACTTACATTTATCTTTGTATGTATACGGAAAGAGTATCGAGTTTTAGAAACATCTGAGTTGCATACAGATTTGAAATAACATTTTATGGATCACCGGTCTAGTAGTTGGGAAGATGAACCAAAATGTCCTGTGGTTCAGTTTACTTCTTGGTACGAGTAAAGCCTTTTGAAAATTTCACACTAGATTAGTCTACTTTATGTGATACAGTAATACAGTATTACTTACCGAACAACTCACCCTTTAAACAACGAAATTTACCAGAAATTCAAGGCTTCCTGTCAACTGATTTTCAAAATTTAAAAAGTAAATAGAGTGCAGCGAAGTTTCCCATCTCTTAGCCTAATGATTACCTTGAGAACTTGAGCAACAGACGTACATCAGTCATAAGCGCTAGCGAGTAGACAGTTACATCACTCACGCACTAGTAGTTGATTTGTTCAATTTGCAGTGAATTTTAGATAAGATTTAAAGAATACCATTTGCGTTGTTCAACCACCGTCCATCTGTGTCCTGGTTTCACCATCTCATCTCACATCCTTTTTTGTTAACTCTCGCTAACAGACAGAATCGTTTCTAAATAAAAGAGTATGCTTCTTCTGATCATCATGAATTATGATGTTGATGTTGATACTTTGCTGTGGTAATAGACACTACCAGTTCATCCAGATAATTGTCTAGTTTTGAGGTGGTTTGAACAATTCATTTGCGTGAGAAAATCTTTTTCCCTCCTGTTATTACCATTAAACAGCTCGAAATTTGCAAAATCATAATCAACTGACACATAATCCATTAGCTGGAGTTCTGAAATCAGTTTTCAAACCTATACGCTTGTGTAACGCCAAAGGGTGGAAGCTATCTGTAGAGCGATATTTCTGTCCTTACTTCAGCTTTATTTTCTGAATGCCTAAATGAACACTTTTAATACACCTGTGTAAAAGGCTGATTTTATTTGTGGTTATTTAATCTGGTTAGAGCAGGTCTGATGACGTGTGCAGAGTAGTTGATGCAAAATAGGTGAAAAAAAATCCATTGCTAAGGAATTCTCCACATGGTTGAATGCTTTCTTGGCTTAAAATACTAAGATACGGAGTGTGGAACCGTGTACAAGTAATATGAAAGTTGGGTCAAGCACTCTGTACTCAATCAGTCTGCTCTTCTCAAGTAGCAAACTGTTTGATGCACAAATGTAAATGATGCAAAAACTTGAAATTCATTCAAATCCTACTAGTCTTCTGTCTCTTGGGTGGTTGGTTCAACCTCTGCTTGACCTACTGAATTCTGAACAGTCAGCAGTGCATCACTTCATCTCAAATAACAGGTATGGAGCAATGCCTACTGCATAAGCGTCCAAGTGACTGCTGTGTGCAGTTATGTTCTTATCAAACTCTACTTTTTGTAAACTTAGTTGACAGACAAACCTTCTGGCTTGTTCTGATGATGATGTATAAAAACTCAACGTTAATCTGACCAAGGAAAAGATATGAACGAGAGGTGAAGAGATTATGAGCTTCAACAAATGTTTCTCACTGGTAAATCAACTCACACTATAATCCCAAGACTAATGGTTAAAAAAAGAATGAAAATTGTCATTTTGCTATGTGGAAACTAGGATTTACTTGCTCGATAGGAAGGTTTTTTTCACATAAAACAGTAATAACCGAAGTTTCAGCTATTACCAAAAAGTTAATTATCAGGAATAAACTGAGAGAAAGTATTTAAAAAATATGAAGACGTTGAATAAATTAAGAAAATTTAGACAATGAAATGGGTAAGATAAAATTATCACCAACTTTTCTGCCCTTTACACTCAGTTCCTACTGATTTTCATGTTACATTTCTATGTGTTACAATATTCATATAAAGTAGCGCAGGTCATTTGTAGCACATAAAGATATACAAACAACTTTCAGTAAGCGTTTAAGAGAAGGAAAATATGATGTAAGCGGTCGATCGACAAGAAATTCCACTCAGGATTAGTTTCGTTGTTATTGGCAGTCATCAGGAAAGCACTTCTACAATCTTTTAGTGAGTTATATTTCCCAGAGGATCCGAATCGATGTCACTCAACACTGGTTTGGGACTGCACCACTGATATAACCACGTGGGAATAGAAATTATCCACCAGCTAGCGACTGACGTAGAAGTCGAGTCCTATAAGCATAGCACTGATTAAAGCATATGGGTGGTGTTGACAAGCTAAGCGATGCAATAAGTTAGATATCATTCCCATGGGCTGCTGGGAACTGGATAATATTAGGCGGGGTTTCACCAAGAACTGACAGCAGTTAGTGAATCGATGAAAAACTACTAAGCTCTGCCTTTTCTTAGTTCACGATATCCGAGTTTTGCGCAAACACGGTTGAGTGTGAAATCAAAAATATGCGAAATCAACAAATCTCATGGCGTCCACTTTGCTGCTTAGCCATCTGATTGAAAATAGATGGTTCACACGTTCCAGACTTGGCTATTCCGTGAGTTAGCAGGACTATCATGCACTGCCATTAGTTAGCTATATTGTGTTCTCTGAGCTAGATGGTTCCCAACAGTACAACCAAAATCATCCGCCTAGAGGTCGAACAATTCGATCCAACAAAACAACAGAGAATAACAATAATGTCAATGAATAGTAATAACTACAACCCGTTGTACAAAGAGTCACTACCGCTCCTCTGTAGCATAGTGGATAACGCCTTGGTGCGTACGAGGTTCGAGTCTCAATGGGAACGACATCACTGGGGCGCAGGCATATCTAGCTGACGAGTTCCAAAAAAGGCGGGACGCGCGTCCAAGGTTTTCCCGCTAGCCAAAACCAACCAAATTATCATAATTCACATTCAAGCAATATCGAGGCATCCGCATAGGAGCCCATGTGCTAATAGAGGTCGAGCAATTCGATCCAACAAAACAACAGAGAATAACAAGTATATCAATAAGTAGTAATATTCTCCACCGTTTCAAAAACATTGAATTTGAAAGTAATGATGGATATTGGCTAGCAAGGGAATTCAGCACACGTGTTTTGTCCGACTTAGAACAACTTTAGCTAGGTGTGCTTCTCCTTGTAGTAAGAGACGTCTTGGACTCATTAAGCATCATTCCTAACAAATATTGAAAATTCCTGAAAACGCTTAAGTCCAGCTTTGGAAAGATCGCCATATCAAGCAGAAATGTAAAAATCGTTAAAACTATTTACATCGTATTATTACTATTATTTACTGTGACAGGTGCTCTAAAAGTGGTTATCCAGTAAGTTTAAGTTCACAGTTCCGCATCTAAAATGGTTCGTATATTTGGTTAAGTCATCATCATCTGCAGTCAGTACAGATATTTTTATTATTTGTCTTTTGATTTCCTAGTGGAACATTGCACTCTGTTCTCTGCAGTCTTTTGAACCTGGCTCCACGACTGCCCAGAAGCTTTTATTTCCTCCTCACACGATCTCCTCCATGTCACCCTTGAACGCCCAATTCGTGTTTCTCCTTTGGGTTCGACTCGAGGGCCTGGCCTGGCGCATAATATCCCCAAACGGTCTTCTCAGTGTATGTTCAATCCAATCCAACTCCACTTTCTTCTGCACATGAGATGTAGCAATATGACCAAAAAATGAGGTAAAGTTTATGACGCACTGTTGTTTGACTTAAACATTTCTGTGATGAGTGAAATGCATCGATTCCTGTTGGATGAAAATCTTAATAGACCATTTTTCCATACTACAACGTCACGCAAGGTCTCGTCTCTATAGTGAATTGAACCTGAGTACTACATAACCTCTGAAGCCCTATGTTCCACTAGGAACCTAAGGGACTAATAATAATAAAACTACATAACCTCATAGTTTATGTTCAAGACAAAATAACTCCATTTTATCCAAAGCTGATGTATTTTTGTGTAAGCTAAAGTGGTCACTAAGGGTGCTATGATTTTAATTACTGTTAATAATCTTTTGCAAGAGTATGTAAGATAAAGATACATAGACAGTTTGCTTACACTTCAACACGTTCTACCTTGACGCCCCACGGATCAGTGGCATCATCGAGCATTGTCTACAAATGAAAAGAGTAAATGAAAGGAAAATAAAACTCCATATAATCTATGAACGCATTAAAGGTGTTCATTGTCTCATAGAGTTAAATGCCATGAAGCGTATGCCTCCATGATTACCGAAGGACAAAGTGATTTTTTTCTGTGATTAAACTTTTTAGATATTTACCTTTCAATTGCTACTGATCCCAAGAAAATAAGTTTTCGATGAATCATCCAAATATGGAACCATCTACTTTAACAAAGTTTAGAAATGATGTTTTTTTACTAGCGAGACTATCTCAAGTAGTCGTATTTCGGTCAACCGGTCTTACTGATACTGTGTGGTGATTGAGGGTGAAAAGGAAACTAGTGTCGTACGAAAGATCTAACCAGTCACCTTCGGCTTGCCAACCCGTTACCGAGTCTCGTTGCCCAGTGAGCAGGTCGCCGCATCGATCACTCGAAGGCCACTGTCATGAGTCAAGATATCATTTTTGCCTCCATTTTTCACCTAGTACCAAGGACATTATGCTTTTCGTTGCTATTCCTAATAAAGTATGAAAACGTTTGGCAAACAGAATATCCGGAAGTTTTTCTTTTTTTCAATTTTCAAATCGTTGGAACAATACATTTATGGTAACAATATACTTCATAGTTGGGTTCTGTTCACATTTAATTCTGATATAAGTGACTCCAATTGCACATAAAACAGTTAACTACTCATGGTGACAACAAAGGTATGAATGGAAATTAGGGGTACGCGAAAAGATTTGGGGCTCAGAAGGAGACTGGTTACTGTATGATTAACAATCTTAATATTATTGATAATGTTGATGTAGAATATGGTAGAAATATTGAATGATTGACTTTCTTATGTACACAGATGTTTCGACAATCACAGTGGGTCAGATCCTGGAAAACAGTAAGGTTTTACAGCATCAAAAGATGAAAGTTAATAAAATAAATCTCATGTAAATGTAGCTGTAATAGAGAAGGTTTGAAGAAAAAGTAAACCAAACGAATATCTCGAAAATGATATACGTGAAATCATTCGTTAAATTCTCCCTAATCAACAAAACGACAAGGGTGATACAATTGGTGCGTAAATTCAAAGCCTCATTTATGTAGCCTCAGATGTGTGTTCAATACTCCACTGAAAAGGGTTCTGCAAAATGTTATAGATCCACTTGAATGCGCTAGCTATGGTGATTGTGCAATTATTGTCAAGAAGTACAAAAGGAAATGCACCTTTATATTAACCTAATTTTCTCATTTCAGTAATATAGACGCTGTGGAACGCGTTGATTTTGCCTCTAGGTTGTAAGTCTTGTATTATTGTCGTTGCTAGATAAAGTGAACTAAAAAAATCAGCAATATAAAATGGCTGGAAGCATTTCAATTTGGAATTTTGTATGAATTATACTGATTTCAAGGTAGTATTCATCACGGACTGACATCAGTTTGAAAACTATTGGAAACCCTAAAGCACTGGACATCTGGTTCGTCCCACAATGAGACTCACTAGCAGTGCACGCTAGTGAACCCAGTAGGGATCGAACCCACGACCTTTGGATTTCGCGAGCTGCATGTTACCAGCGATCCAATCGTCTGCATTTTTCTACTTCTCCATAAGCCTCAAAAAGGAGTTACCGTACAGAGGTCACTAATGGCTTCTTTCAAGATGAGATTCCCGAAGTTCTGAAGAAAAGTCGTAACCAGTGGGACAAACAAAGCCGGATTTGAACACAGGTACTCAATAACAACAGTTAACGAGAGCCACACTATATCACGAATGGATAAAAGTAGAAGAATGTGAACCATTTGACTTAATGTGCACACCACAAGAACTGATGGTTCTGAGTTCAGCTGCTGGTGGAGTCATGGATGAGCACCTCTGAGGAGTCCCATATTAGAACAGAACGGCTGTCCAGTGCTCTCATGTTCTCAATGGTTCTCAAACTAATGTCAGTTCGTGGTGAATACCAACTTAGACTGATTGTCGGTTTGACTTACAATTATCATCCGGCTTGAAAATGGTAAATAAGTACAATCATTATCATATATTTTGACGATTAGAAACAGAATCTCACTCCCTGCAGTCTTCTTGCATCCACTCATGAAGAATAATAGTTTCCCTCAGATAGTCACTGTTATACATCAAATTGTTTCACATAACTTTTATGCAACGACCTCCTTAATCACTGCAGTAGATCCTTATTGATTTCCTTATTCATATATATATATATATATATATATATATATATATATATATATATATATATATATATATATATATATATATATGGAACTTGGTGTCAAACTTTAACAGTCATATACCCTGTTGTCACAGTGTTACGCCACCCATCTTCGTACTCTGATTGCAGGTTTCATTACCCTCCCTCAATCAACACTTACGTCTTAAAGGTGATATTGCTCGTCATCAAATGATTCCAGTGTGTGAACTGATAACCTACTCTATGTTAACAGAAGAGTATTGAAACTATGGTCTAAAAAGGCTATAATGCCGCTTTTAAGGAAATCTCTGTGTAATTCAAACAGGTTGAATTGTGAGAGTTACTTCATCAAAAACAAAGAAGTAAGAGATCCCTAAACCTTCTTGTAATCACCGGTGAATAAGCAGTATACTTATAGCATGCGTATTATTATTATTATCATCATTAGTATTAGTAGTAGTAGTTATAATTTGGCGAAGAGACAGTTCGAGCCGCTGAAGAGTCCTAGACTTGGACAAAACACCTGTTCAGTGCTCTCTGGTTTTCAATGGTTCTTCAGCTGGCGTCAGCCAGTGACAATAAACTACTATCGAATCAGGTAGCTGGTTCAAACCATCAGTTAGCTGGATAAATTGTCACCCATCGCTCTCACCTTAATACTTCATTTGTAATGTTACAATGACTTCCTGTCTACTATTTTCAAGTGAATTATTTAGCCATGAAATTTTCAGAGTGCGAAATAGTTTTGCTTGTTAGTACTTTAATGAAACAAATTTAAAACTCATTTCCTTTTTCACTGCAATAATGATAAACTGAAGAAAAAAAAGAGTTGAAATGAACATAATCCAAATCCCAATGATATAGTCTATTTGTAGTTACTGGTAACTTCCTAGTGTATGTAGGCATCAGTTTACCTGCCTCCCACCAAACCAGATGCGTTGAAAGTGTCCACCACCAATTACAAAATCTTAGACGATGTCTCACTAACAAAAGTAGCAAGTGGATCAGTAGCTTCTAATAACAATAACTTGTTGGCAGTAGTTTTACATCATAAGTAAACACTAACCACAGAACCGTTGAAAATATGTTAGCACTAGGAAACTGTTGCATCCTAGCCTGAGAATTCCAAGCATTCATGATTTTGTGGAGAAGAGAACCAGTGAATGTCAAATCTCAAGGTAAGCAGATTATTATACAACCGCTGGAATGTAAGTTAAATGTTCATATTCTCCTGTTTCCATCAGCTCAAATTACAGCGCGACAATCAACAAATATCTTCAGTAAGGTCAGTGAAGTCCGGGGGATATGATGACAAATACTCATGGATGGCAGTAAATGATGCCCACCCTTCATCACATACAGACGGACATATGAAAATCTGGACTAAACGGTAACACGCTTGCAACAAGAACTTATACTTCTGGACTGGATCAATGAAGATCAATGGACTAGATCCTGAAGAGGGGTCTCAAGCTACAATGTAACAGCTATCTTGTGCTTTCAGGCATTTACTGGTTCTCCGACTCATCTAAGACCAATCGACCTCCACAACCCACCAGCTGAACATCTATTCGATGGATTTTTCAGTGCAGTTTACAGAATGTATGAAAAGCTAATTAAACAGATAACGCATAATTTACAACACTACCAATTTTCAAGCCAGCATTCATTACGGACTGAAGCCAGTTGGGAAACCATTGGGTGCGCGTCGTTGAGAAGTCACATAATAGTAGGATGAAACAGCCATTTAGTATTCCCAGGTTTTCAAATGATTCTCCAATCGATATCAGTCTGTGATGAACACTAACCTGAAGGCAATAACTAAATTCCCACAGACCTCTCAACTGAACTAACAGTTTTGGTATACAGAAATAAAAGCTTGGGTTACGTGTATCCAATATAACCTGGTTGTATGTACGTGTAAACACCTGAACATACAATAATCTGCAGCTTTCATCTTTGGTTATTACGCAGATCCTCGGAAAATAGAAAAGGCGGTTAGTCAGAAAATGGCTTATTACAATGTAAAAACAATACAATAGCTTTTGTGTGCATATGTTTGGGCTTTGTTATTTCCCGGCTATATTAGAAGGATATGCTTTATCTATTTCTCTCCTTCAACCGATCTAACACTTATGCATGTGGTTACAATGCCTTAATCTGGAAACTTTGAGGTTTAATGATTGACTGTGAAATGCTTCAGGGAATTTGGACTTCTTTGAAAGATCTGAAAAGTCTATCTGCACAAAACACCAGTCTTCTTGGAAGTATTTCACTAGTTATTCTTACTGTACGATTTTAGACCATTAAAACTTTCTATCTCCATCCACAATCATCACAAATGTCAGTAGAACTTGTTATATGTCAAGTGTTTAAATTAAGCACTTGAATTCTGAACAGCCTCGTTTTTGTGAAGTTCAGTACTTCAGTAAGTTTATTATTTTTCTATCAAGTCTTGGAATTTGAACTTACCTGAGATAATAAACTTGTCTCCAGACATTTTCATGTTGTTTATCAAACATGTTAGCTACTCATTGGTAGCAATCGCCTTTATATGTATTTCTTGAATTCGGTACAGTATATGTGACATCGGAGATAATACAGTTTAGCTGCCTAGCTGGATTCTGTAGATTTCTTTGATGAACGATAGTTGAAAGACTTGATCTAAGATACCTACTGAATGAGTTCTACAGTTTAGCTACCAAGCTTAGATATTGACAGCCCTAACCGAATAACCCGGATCGGGCACTGGATACCGTGCTTGCTTGGGAAGTTAGGCCAGATACCGGGTACTTTTGGGCGTTTACTCTAAGTTGCAGTGTATGACCCGTTTTTTACACCATCATCATGTGTAGGTGCAGAAACAGATGCCATTCATATGGTCAGTGACGTTTGGCTGACCTGGAAAACTACAGAAGAGGCATAAACCCTTAAGTGTGTCTATCAGGCTTAGGTAATCACTAAAGTGGTGCGCTTCTATGCATTCTAGACAGCTGGACATTGTTGACAAAAAGACTTAAACTTTGGTTAGATGGTTCAAAAGACAGTTACTAATACTCATTGTTAGTATATGTAAGACAAGGTTCTATGATAGTTGAAAACCACAGCTATGAAATAGAGTGTACACTGAACTACACACCCACAGCCTAGTAAGTGATGACACTTTGATTTCTGTATAAATAAAAATTATTCGTTTAATATATTTTTGCGTTATCTAGATTTCTGTGAAGGTACTGATAGACATGGTAAGCTTCTGTGGAATGCGTTGCTGAAGTATCTCAAACTAGGATAAAACAACTGTCCAGTGCGCTCTTTTGATCTTAATAGTTGTCTAACTTATGCCAAATCGTTGTGAAAACCACTTTCAACCGATGAAACTATTAAAGTGGAACTCGAAGAATAATTGGAGATCATAAATTCAGAAGACTTACCTGCATAGATGTTGAGATTGATTCACGTTCAGACAGTATTTCAGCTAAATTTCTTGTGCCTAAAACATTTCTAAGCGTGGTTGCTGCTAATAAACGTGTTGACCGATCAGCGTCCTCAACATTTGTAATTGCTACAACAGGATTATAGATACGATAATAGACAACAGCGTCAACAGCTACTGTCACTGAATCTTTAGTAAGTACCTTGAAGAAACCAGAAACAAGATACATGTAGAGGCATTCGAAATATTCTTAACTTCATAAGGTATTTCTGTAATATCAGCCGAAAAGTGAGAAAAGTGAATCTCAAATAAGTGTCTTTGGTCGTATTATTTTATCTTTCTTAGTAGTCATTCTAATTGCGAATGGCTTGGTAATATTACTGTATAGCTCAGCTCAAGAGCTGTCGATTGACCCCTCGTCCGCTTATCTGACTTATATTTTGGAAATAATTGCATGTTGAGTGAAATAAATCAATCCATCACTTTGCAGTATCCTCTATTTTGTCCTTGAAAACGGTTGTTTCATCTCCACAAATCATGATGTGTTGTGGTAAAAAAATTTAATTGTATCCACATATGAATAACAGCGCCTGAAATATATGGCAAGTGATCATCAGACTTTGTGATCCGTTGTACGCGATTTTAAGCAATTATGATATTCATGTGGGTGAATCGATTATAGTACGAGACTGGGGAAGCATATACGAGAACAATCACGTACAAAATCAGGATTATGACTGAAGTGGTAGAAACACATACTTAAGACAATTACAATCAGACAAAGTTGTAACAATTTCGGTTTACCGACAAAAGTTTCATTTTTTAGCAAAAGATACTACTACTGAACAACTTGAGTAGTTGTTTTGTGGCTAGTTCATGTCACTTTTGTGTCAGACATCACACATCACGATGTTTACTAAGTGATCTCGAGCAAAAAAGTAGTTGGCAACACAGTTGGGCAGTTGGAAAATTATCCAACTGTGTGAAGTATCAACATGGATCGTGCAATTTGTAAATCATTTTCAAACTGACCACCCCATTTCATTTTCCTGCCATCGATAGGACTGACAAGTTCAAAGATTTGGCTGTATCATGTAGACGTTTGGTTTACTAATAACCGTCTAGTATCAGTACATGTAGAAACACATAGATGTGATAATTCAGAGCCAAAGAGGAGTGAAGCTGGTACTAGTGTATGGGCTACAGTTCTTAAGGAAAGGAAGTAATGCAGAGTAGGCTAAAAGATACTATTTTGACTGCGGCAACTGATAGGTTTTGATGCAGAAGAGATAATTGACAATAAATGTATTTGCATCAGGAAATTACCTCACCTAAATTCCCTCTTGCGCATCTGTTTATATTAGTTATACGAAGTTATCAAGATTGCCTAAAGTAACAGGTAGTTTTGATGTTTTTATATTAAATACCAAACCACTTCTCGACTGCTCAACAGCAGCCTTCATATTTAGGACGATCATTATTCCTAATTCTAATTACTAGTATCACAATACAGGTGCACATTTACTTTGTGCACTGCTTATCTATTTAATAAAGCAAATATCGTTCGTTACTAGATTGTTGAGGCATTATCGCAATACATCCTGAACAGGCAGTTCCTCTGATATAATATTGCTTGTGCCATCCCGCCGCTGTTTGAACTGAATCAATCTGTCTCTATTGCCATAAGGTCTCCTACTCGGACGCATCGATATTGCTTGTATTTTCACTTTTGAAGTGGCTTTCGTGACTCACTCGGCTAGCGGATAAAGCTCTGGTGTTTGGAGAGATCGGTCCCAAGTTCCAGCCTTGGTGGAAACAGTGTCGCTCACTGGGAGACAAATATATTCCTCTGACCACTCTCAAACAAGACGAAACGCGAGTCCTGGATTCCGCTTTTAGCCACCATACACTACTGGTTTTTCTTAATTACTGAGTAGCATTTATTCACCTTAGCTGTGTAGGGAGAGCCAGGCTACTTGGATAGGCTCCTAGAGAATATAGGTATCAATAGTGGGTGATATGACTGCAAATTAGTCACAATGGTGCAGGTGAATGCACTCTTTGTCACCTTCGAAGTACTGAATACTTTGAATAATTATCAATTATTAGCTTATTAGCTCTACTTTCCAACCTTTTTGTCTACCATCATTTCACATTTCTTGTCCAACTGTCATTTGCATCCTACTTTAAATACAGCAACAGCTGCACTTTTGAATTGGATTCTGTGTTGATTTATCTGTCTTGTCTGCAGCTAGTTAAGCTCTGGCTTCACATTGGTCAAAGCGTAAAGCGACATAATGAACGGTTTCCCAACCATATAAGTTTAAATCTAATCGGAAATAAACCAAATACATTCTATGATCATGTTCACGTACGTGCAGTAGCAGTGAGTCACATTTATTGCGTGAGGGTTTATGAAACTAACATTTAGTTGCCCAAACCTCGGTATATGGAACAAGATGTGAACCCGTGATCCACTGGTTGGAAGTCAATCACGTAAAGATAGCTGGTCAAAAAATCATCTAAGTTCATTCATTTCCGGATAAACTTTTCATTCCGTCCCAGGAATTCTTCGATGGACAGAATTCTCAGCGTCTTTTGCAATTAATAACGCAGTTTCAAATGCGATTATTGTAGCTGTTGGGCTTTCAAGATCTTATTTATCACATCATCTCATGAAAGAACTAGTCTCTGAATAATTCAACTTTTGCAGATAAATTCTTGAACAGCTGTCACTTTCCTATTCATACTTTATTCCTAAGAGGTGACCTGACCAAGCATCTTGTCAAGCAAGGGTTTATCTTTAAAGTTGATTGATTTTAGTTAAAAATTATTGGATGTATACCAAGTTGTATCATGATGAGTATAAACAAGGACGCAAATAACCCAGTTCATTAGGAACAGAATACTTTCTTCAGACGCTTGTCAATGTCATCCTAGACTAAAAGTTATTTATCAAACAGATCTGTGTATAATTGGCCTCCTAGTATTTAACTAGAAGTATAACAACATGAAATAAGCATAGACTTCCAAAAAGAACTAGACATAATTCCTCAACTTTGAAGACATGATTTACATGGTTCTAATCATTCTTTATCCTTTGCGGCTTAAGAAGTAGGATTTAGTGTTGATTTAATAAACAAGGAATCCGTTTTAAAACTTTCCCACAACTCCATCAAATTAGTTTCAGGGATTTTTATTCTGTCTCATTCTGTTGTGTGATTCTTTGTAATGCATACACACAGATAAAGATGCCCTTTCCTTTCAATTCTTCATCTTATTACAGGTCTACTAATCTTGACTTAGCTAAGGTTTTGTGCAAAAAACGGAAAGAGCACGTTCACTATAACAACAAAAAATAACCTCTGTAGTAAATACTCAGAGCTATAATTCTCAGTTATAGAAGTAATTACATCAAGTGGTCTCTTACCTCTTGTGGTGGGACATCGAATGTTACAGTACGCAAATCAACTTTGCGAATTGAATCAATACATGGTGCAATAAAGAAAAGACCTGGTCCTCGAGCACCACCGGGTACAATTCGTCCCAGTCGAAATATAACTGCTCTTTCATATTCAGCAACAACCTGTGTTTGTTAATACAAGAATTAGAAATGTGAACAGATTTATAAATATCATCAGTAAAGACATGCTTTTTTTCATAAAAATCATCAACGTTCAACTGAAAAACTTGTATAGCTCAGCCCGATGGGATACGGTTCATCTAATAGCCAAAAGCCATTGGTTTTAGTGTGTAATTGCAACCATCGTTCTCACATTTCAAAATCAGCTGACATCCACTTCAATCCCATAACGGGAGATCACCGAAACCTTTAAAACAGATGAGTATTTTTTTATGAGGAGGGTATTTGGAACAGCGAACGACATATTATCATTGAGATACATGGATAATTACTGAGCAGAATCGAAAAAAGAGCACAGAAAATAACAGGAACTAGTCCCTCCCGTTGTTTAATTTAGCAGTAAACTGAAATATTATTACCATTTATTCAAACTATGAGACCAAAAGAACCAATTCAAAGCTAACATTATCTAATGAACACTATTCACACGGCAAGACATTTAAGAAGAATACACTAAAAAAGCTGTAGTTCAAGCAGTTTATGCCATAAGTTCTAAAGGATTCAGATAACAAAATTTCCCTCGGAATGAGTTTGTTGACTTGAATGTTACATCAACTAAAGCAGTGGTAAGAACTCTGCGGAGTAACTGTTTTCAAATCCAATTTAACGCAATGGAACAGACAAATTACTGAATCACTGACCCTCGAACTAGGACCTATCGCATACAACAGGAATGATAAATTACAACTTGGAAACTTCTACCACGACTAACAATAAAAGAGGAGTGGTTAAAAACACATTTTCTGTTTATAATTCTCAGAAATATTAAAACAAATCGATTCCTCTTCAATTAGTCTCTCTTAAAGGCTTTTCCTCCTTCTCAAACATTAAACATGCCGATACATTTACTAATAGCATCATCCTTCTTTCCTTCTAACTTACTCCTTGTAATTTAATTTCATAAGTAATAAATAATTTAATTTTCTGTTTTGATTATGCCAATCAAAAGAAGAAATACTGATGAAAACGTGCTCTACTCATTCAATTTCAATTTTTGTAATTGATCCATTTCAACACTTTTACGATGAAATTCATCGAAGAAGAACTGGGAGATAATCAATATCATGAGATGAATGATATTTCATCCTTGGTACTTCTGGATACTCATTGACTGAGTTTGTTATGAGCTTTTTAAGCGATAAGATCTATTGTTAAATTTCAGCCTTCTCTAATTCAATTGTATTTTCCATCAATGGGGTACTAAATCGATCAGTGATCAATTATTTACTACATGATAGGATTATGTCGGTTCGGATATCTGAAGAAGTAACAACTTATCATGAGCTTAATTTTCGAGTGCCGAAAGGCATGATTGCTGGGTTTGGCTAGGCCTCGCACCGATTGCCTCGCTCCGAAGTCAAAGTTTGTGATTTTATAGAAGCAAGCTATTCTGTTACGGAGGCTTTGGTACTTTTGTAGACACAACGATCAGGTGAACAGGTAGGCCTGGGTTATAGTCAGATGAAGTGAATATTACTTTGCTCATTAGACAATGTCACACAAGTATAAAGTATTTCTCAGTAAGCTGATCTACCCTCCACATTCATTTGAATACCTGCTAGTTAGTCTGTAAGCGACAAGATAGTACTTTTTTGCAGTGTAGGTGGAAAACTTGGACTATAAGATAGTGTACAATTCACCTTTAATTTTTTCCATTTGTTAAACAGTGTAACAATGTTATTTATTCAATAACGTTTTGGATATGACGAAGGAGAACAAACTGCCTCCTTAATCTTATTCAGTGTTACCTCGAAGTGCTCAGATTCTATTCTTTTTCAAATGAAGATAAAATTTCGTACTGAATTCCTTACTGTAGTAAATGAAGTAAATAGAGTGGAATAAAGGTGAAAAAGTTGGATTTATTGATTCAGCAACTTGGTGGATAACGACATTCTGATGTTTGCAGTAATCAATGATCAGTGTGTGTCGCGGTAAGACCAGCAATACACTGAATTCCGAGCAAATTCATCTGAGGAGTTCTGAAACGCGCTATCTAGGTTTAAAACTTAGCTTCCATCAAGAATGATCATTAATAATGAATATAAATTCATTGATACAGTCACAAATTTTCAATACCTTGTTAGTAAAAGTAAACTTTATGTGCATGTGATCCCTTTAACGCAATAAAAGCTCTTTTGTTGTGATGCTGGTTACGCACTACTGGTGAATGCCTAGTCCTAAGTCCTGACCAAATTCTGCCGATCAGTGTTAGTCAGTCATACAAGAGGTCAGTTGTAAGCTGAGTAGCTCACTCAGGAGATCTTCAACTGCAGCGGTGGGTGATGTGGACTCGAATCTCTCAGGGAATATCTGTCCCCTTGCTGATAAGTCTCAATAGCCACAAAACCTAAATTGAGGATTGGTTGCCTCTAATTGCCTCCAATCAGTTAAAACCAATGAAACAGCATAATGCTGCTGAGTCTCCTGACTTGATAATCACATTTTAAAATGATTCATAGAAACTGTTCAGAACTTAGAACCAGATAACATGCGGTTGGCTACTCATTCTAGTATGTGAGGGCAGATGATATTACCTGATTGCCCGAACCTCGGCAGGTTGAGCAGTGCTCGAATCCATGACCGTATGGTTGAAAGTCATCTGTCTAAACCAACGGAACATAATTCCACATTCGCGGTTGGAATAGCTTAGTGGTAACGTCTCTGATTATATCAATTGTTGGAACTCTCATGGGACTTCAGTTCCGCTAAGAATCCAGATATGCCTTAATGAAGAGTAACAACGATGGCAAAGCCCAGATGAAACTAGGCTTCCTGCCAATTATCTAAAACTGATTTATTACTCTCTTCCTTTAAAATATAATCTTATATTTCAATGTAAAACAACCAACTTACTTTAATACAGAAAAATAATGAGAAGGGAAACGTTATAAGAATGAATAAATACGCGATTGCAATTAAAATGGCACTGCATATTCCATATTCCCCAGATTTTCTGGAAGGATCTGTTAAATAAGAGAAAGAACAAGGAAAAAGTGGACGGTGAGTGATTATTAATTTTTTATGTACATTGAAAATAAAAATACTTAAGTAGTTAGACATTGTTACCTATTATTTCTCACGGCTGAGTTGTTTGGATCATAGTGATAATACTGTAGAGTTAAGGGCAATGAATACCGTGGACAACATTTTCATTAGGGGTTAGCTGCTTAGTTTCTGATTAGGCATCAGTATTTAACAATTGGACCAGTTAGTTTTGACTGGGGCTGAAGAATAAGGCCTTATTAAACACCGTCCAGTGTGGTCAAGCAAAAGATCAGTGAAATCCATCAGAAGCTTGATACTCGCCCATATGGTAGATAGTGAACTAAAGATTGACAAAATTTCGGCATCTACCATCCCAAGCAAAGTACCATCACAGTGTTCGAAGTCTATGCATCTCAGATTGCAAAGTATAGCAGAAGGGAGAACGATTAAAGTTTTCACATCTAATTTATGTATTCAGGAGATGTTTGTTTCTCTTCTCAGATACAGTATACAGTTACAATATCAATCTGTAGTATTCATCAGGGAATGATATCACTTTAAGAACCAAAAGAAGCCTAGGAGCACTGGAACGCTAATTTGTTTTAGTGCAGGACTCCTCAACAGCCCGCACACCTAATCCCACCACCGGTCGAAACCAGGACCTTAAACGTTTTGCAACACGCACTTCACAACTGGGCCACTAAGTTGCAATCCAATCATGCACATTTTCGTACTTATTTACAGCGTTCACCGATGAGGGACCTGGCTACTGATAAGATTTGTCAAGGTCCTATTCAGGGTAAATGTAGCTGTACATAAAGACAGTTACTCAACGATGACATGGGATAAAGGTCATTCTATCTCGCTGACTGACAGAAGTATAAAAATGTTGGCCAGTGGATTTTGACTCAGTGACTCATCGTGAAACCTGGAGGTCCTGGGTCCAATCTGTAACGCGGTTATGGGTGCACACTGCTAAGAAGTTCCGTACTAGGATGAAACGGCTTTCCAGTGGCCCCAGGTTCTCAGTGATTCTCCAACTGATGTCAGTCAGATCCCCACAAACCTCCAAATCCAGTTACAATAATTTCTTTCCCGATCAAACTGGATAAATGTGAATATTATTCTTGTTTGTACTTTTACCATTATTACCATCATCATCGTTATACTCCGTTTTAATTCCAACTGAAATATTTTATTATCTAATTGTTATGTGATAGTAGTTTCATTTCTCTATGTCCTTACATATATATATATATATACATTACACTGGGACATACATTATGATTGACCGCTGAGATTATTGATACCCGGTGATGAATGAAGGTGAAACGAAAATTGAGAGTGTTACAGGATTCAATTCAGTGGCTTGAAGTTAAACAGAATTTTCACAATATATTTTTCTTGTTTTTCGTACCTTTGTTGTTGCCTTATCATTCATGTCCCCGAATTCAGTTGTCCGTATTGGTATCAAATGACTTTGCTGAATAATTTTTATATTGTATCTGTAAAGCCTGACAAGGATTGATCGAAATTTATGTATTCGCTTGAAAATATTTTTCGGAATAAAGAGTTTTCCTTCAAGTTGTTATTCATCGTAGACTGACATCAGTTGGAGGAACAAAGGAAACCTGGGAGCACTGGACAGCTGGACGCGGAACCTGAAGGTCGTGGGTTCGATCCCTGCTGGTGGGGTCGTGGGTGCGCACTGCTGAGGAGTCCCATACTAGGACGAAACAGCTGTCCAGCGCTCCCAGGTTTCCTTTGTTCCTCCAACTGATGTCAGTCTACGATGAACAACAACTTGGAATAATTCCAAATCTCCACAACTCCCTCAAAATTTAATGAGTTTTCTGTTGTAACACACTTGCGTTACTGAGGTCATGAAAAGAATTTGTGCTGGAAACAAATGCACATAGAGGTAGTAGTGAGTTCCGTGAGATGGATATTTTGTTTGTGAAACACTTAAACAGCTTGAATACACATTCAAAAAAAAGTTGAAGTTTCAATGGCTGTGAAATCAATTTACATTAACAACCCTCAATATGACTACATGCCCTCTTTAAATGTCGTTTTCAAGTAAACAGTTGTACTGATTGTCTTTAAAAATTAGTTTAGCCGCTTAACTAAATGACTTCTTTGTACTTGTTCAACTTCAGCCTGATTTACTTTGGTGTCTGTTGACTACAAAGTGATTAAACTGCTGCAATTACATGCGTGCAACAAGAGAATAAAAGCTTTAAATAGCAAGTCATACGCAATGAGGAAGAGATGATTGTAGTAATTCACAAGTCCATCATCCGAACTGATGAATGATAAGTCAATCTCTTCAATGATGGTCCCTAAAAAAGTAGAAACCTAAACCCTGGATTCTAATAATAGACAACTCGCACCCCCCCCCCGTCATGAAAAACAATCTTAACACAAGACTGCATAAACAACCAGAAAACAAATTATAGAAACATTAGGAAGTATTGCATATCTTCCATATATGTTAAACTGGTGCCATCTAAGAACAATAAAGTGGACTGGTTTTCCTAATAAGATAATGTCCTATCAACAGAGTATTATTCGACGTGGTAACAGCAGCTTTACTATCAAACCACTTAGTTTATAAACGATACGACCTCATAGGATATGTGTGTGCTCTCTGGTCATACTAACATAGACTAAATCAAGATAAAATGTTGCTCAGAATTACATCGATTCAGGTTGCCACACTTCACAGTAGTATACAAAGAACAAATGGATAGAAAAAGTTATGTAAAAGTACAAAAAAGTGTTTGGGAGGAGGAAAAATGATAAAAATCTAGTTTAGTGAAACTATTCAAACTTTAAAAGACTTCAAGGAGTGAATAGATCAGGGCCGTTGCGATCATTTTTCAGTCATGTCACCAATAGTGTCCAACTATTGGTTCCTATCGTCTCGAGAACCCAAATTAGACTGTCTATGACCCTCCTTACACGGTTAAGATTGACAGTCAAAGACTTCACGGACTGTTGCTACGTCTTCGTCTTGCAACCTTTAGCCCTTCTTCCCTCACCACAGTTTTACTTCGCCTAAAATATCACGTCGAGTTAGGCGGAGACTTGGCATTCACAACACATCTCTCAGCCATCTCACCCGGCTAGCAACCTCATCGGCTAACTCGCTTACCTGGCTTAGTAACCCTCACTTAATCTCAACACTGCTCAAACTATAGCTCCACCATGTATGTGAAATGCTGCGAAGAAATTTGTATTCAAAAACCTGTAATCTATTCATATCTTGTATTTTCAACTGACACCTCCTGCAACCATATAGTACGACAGTATGAAAAACAGTGCAGTACGCTGGTCGTTCACTGAGGTACCGACTATTCTGTCGGCGTCAATCATAATGTTAGCAAATGCCGGACAAGTGCTTTCATCCTAACTGCGATTTATTTTATCAGCAAGTAATTCGGATAACACTAAATCATAATCAGAGTCACTTTCTTGGGCGAAATCATTACCAGTGGCTTTATTATTTAAAACTAAAAACTATTTAATACCCAATTTTGTCCATTTTGTTGGTGTGTTCTTAGAGTCAACTATAAATGAGGAAATTCTTCGCATACAACGGAATATTAAGTTCACTATTGTGATGAAATCATTCGTGATTTAAACTGAATAAATAAAACTATGTACTTATAACATTTTCAACCATAAGCTGAAATGAAAATGGCAATGACATTATTATTACCATTAATACTGTTATTACTACCACTACCATTCTTCTCTATCCCTTAAATATCCTGCTATTCTCTATATATCTGATGAAATCAAGTGGAAACGTGTAAACTTGTAAGGACACAAGGAAAATACACAGAGTTAATTTCCATGCTTTGTACAAGCTTTTCATGACCTTCCGGACACCAAATATCACATCGATTGCTACATCGCTTACAACACTAAACTTTAGTTCAATTTTGTAAATGCCCACAAATCGTAAGCTTGAAAACGAGTGGAATTATTGTTGTTGTTAATATTGTTTTTAAGGTTATAACTGGCAACTATTTTTCACTTCTAACTAAACAGAAAACAAGTATTTATCATTTCAAGTTATAAATGCAGAACATAATTTTACGCAAGTGGAACAACCTCCAACTGAGTTAGATACACTTCAGCGAATGCCTTCTTTGACTGTTTCACCTACTAAACAAAGATTGGAAGTAATTAAAATGTTATGGGTTGAGATTTTATCAGAGTGTATATGACTGTGTAAAGTTGACCAAAAAATCACTTAGAATCAGAGAGATAAAAAGAGAACGATAAATGGGCTTTATTTTCTAACCTTCTACTTTTATCAACAGTATACTGTAGATGCTGTGGAAGATATTCTCATCCTGGTGCGTCTATATTATCATCCAACTACTGGGTTGCAGCTCGACTGTTTCATTCAGTTATCGTCACAGCTGTAGCTATAATCAGTATTATCTGTGGACACCTTTACTCAGTCACTTATCGGTTGACCCCACAGATCATGACATTCTATTGAAACTAGGGACACACAACATAAAACAAATAATCAGAAAGTATCTTTGACGGAGCTAAATGATTTACAAGTTCTACCATTACCGTCAAGAGTTCTTCATGAATCATTTAGCCTATGAGTACGAACTTTTGGATAATGAAAACTATTTCGTACATCAGTTATTGAGACAGGGATTCGCACTTAATTTTATACTGTATTAGCTCTAAAGTGGTATCTCTATGCACAAAAGCCTACAACCATGTCCCTCCTTTGAGAACCTTTCTGGGATCCTACCGTTATCGCGATATGCTATTAAGATGATAAGGTGGCCTAATGCATCCGTTAATGCGAACATCGTTCTTGAATTCACCTTCTATCAGTTTACAGGATATCAGAGAAAACTGAATTTTATCGTTAGTAATCGTCATAAAACATGATATCACTTAATGACAGCAGTTAACTTCCAAAATGCTGATGACATAT